AGTCTAGGCACCTAGCATGGTACTGGATAACTTTTAATCCCAGAATTTGGGAGGAGACAGAGGCAGGTGGACCACTGTGAATTCAAGACCAGCCTGGTCTACATAAATAATTCTAATACAGAATTTTAAACACAAACATGATTTTTCTTTTGTTTCGCTGTGATTTTTCTCTCTTTCTCTTATTTTGGTTTGCTTAGCTTTGACCTCTATGGATATTTTGTCTTACCGTCTAGTCGGAAGAGGGCTGAACTGCATTCAGAAGTTGAAGGAAGATGTGGTCGTTCTCCCCACCCCAGTTTCGAGGACATGTAAGGGCTCCCACAGCCACTTTCCCTCTCCTGCCGTACTGGACGTCTGTGAAAATAGCTTCAGGCTAGGCTGCCCCTCCACCACCCCACCCAATTCTTTCTCTCCTCTTCTAACTCAGGCACCCCTTGCTTTCAAGCTCCAGTCCATTAGCTGAGGCGGTGACCTTGACCCTAGCCTAGACCCTGAAAATGAAGGGCCTGCCTCTGAGTGGTGTGGAGTGATTTGACCCGCAGTGACCCGCTGTGACCAGTCATGCAGTCGAGCTCTTAAGACAATGCTCCGCCAAGGCAGTGCCCAGACATAAAAAGGCCGGGCTGGGCCGGAGAAACCATCACTTCTGGTGGGTCTCAGACTCAGCACTAGCACCATGGCCTGCCCCAGTCTCGCCTGCTGCCTGCTTGGCCTCCTGGCTCTGACCTCCGCCTGCTACATCCAGAACTGTCCCCTGGGCGGCAAGAGGGCTGCGCTGGACTTGGACACGCGCAAGGTGAGTCTCCCCATCCGGTCCGGTCCCAGCAGCGCTAAGGACCAGAGAAGACTCTCGCCCGCAGAGCATCCCAGCACTCTAACCAGCCCTACCCCAACCTCGCATGGGAACCCAAGGCTTTAGGCAGGGTTAGGCTCCCGCTTGACGCCGCGAAGGCAGAGACAACGCCTGAGCTCCCACTGCCCCTCGCCCGGCCACCGTCCCGATACGGGACCGTAGCCCGAGGACCGTGCACTGCGCCCACTCGCGTCCTTCCCCGCAGTGCCTCCCCTGCGGTCCTGGCGGCAAAGGCCGCTGCTTCGGACCCAACATCTGCTGCGCAGACGAGCTGGGCTGCTTCGTGGGCACCGCCGAGGCGCTGCGCTGCCAGGAGGAGAACTACCTGCCCTCGCCCTGCCAGTCGGGTCAGAAGCCGTGCGGGAGCGGGGGCCGCTGCGCCGCCGCGGGCGTCTGCTGCAGCCCTGGTGAGCAGGAGGGGGCTGGCAGGACTGCCTGGCAGGGAGCCTTCGGATTTGCCGCTCAGGCCACTGACCCATTTTTCTTACAGATGGCTGCCGCATGGACCCCGCCTGCGACCCTGAGTCTGCCTTCTCCGAGCGCTGAGCCCTCTTGGCGATCCCTTTAGAATTCATCCTTCACCCCCCCGTGGCCGCCCCAGAAAGAATGACAAATAAAGCAGATTTCCTCTTCACACTTGACTGGTGTCTAATTGTCGGAGGGAGGGAGGACGTCGGGGTTCATGGGCCCTGGCAATTCAAAGTAAGAACAGCCCAGCAGGCTGCTCGGGGGACAGAGGGGTGCTGCACGGGCTGTCACCACCCACCCTATAGGATAGCCCCGTTTTCCACTCCGTACTGGAGTGGGCCTGAAGCAGACAGACTTAAAAGCAGCATTTAAAAGTCCAAACAGCAATGGTGGACATCTATGGGAAAAGACAAGGTCTGGCGGGGCTGACTAAATGGGAGTCAGACAGGCAGGGAACTCATCCAGTCGCTTCCGGATCTGAGAGGAGACTTTAGCCAGAACCTCAGAGGCTGAGGGGGCAAGCCTGGCCTAGAAAGAAGGCTCTTGGCCAGGGGACGGTAGTCGCAAAGCTGGAAGGTTTCCACAGAGCTGAATTGCCACACAGTACCCGAGGAGGCCACAGCTGGAAAGATCGAGAACCAGCAGGTCTCTTCTCTGCTGTCCTCAGTGCCAGGCCTGAACTCAAGGGCCCCGTTTCTGCCGCTGCAGGGCAGCACTCTCTGGGACAGCATAGAATCTAAGAGCCTGTGGGCACACATGACCGCAGAGCACAGAGCCCACGGGCAAACTGAGAAACCCACGGTTAATACTGCTCCTCTGTGGCTCATCGATCCCGTGCCTCAAAGCGGGCCTCGCTTAGCTGTCCGTGTTCCCAGCAGCGCGGGCAGAGGCAGAAGGCGCAGGCCCCTCCTCTGCTCCCACACAGGGGCACGTGATTCACTGTCTGTTAGAACAAAATGTGATGGCCTGAGAGGAGCCCAGTGGAAGAGGTCTTGCCCCACAAAGGGGGAAGGCCCTGGGTTCCGTGCCATCTCAGCAAGTAAATAAACGGGGCTGGAGAGATGGCTCAGCGGTTAAGAGCATTGCTTGCTCTTCCAAAGGTCCTGAGTTCAATTCCCAGCAACCACATGGTGGCTCATAGCCATCTGTAATGAGGTCTGGTGCCCTCTTCTGGCCTGCAGGCATACATGCAGAAAGGATATTGTATACATAATAAATAAATAAATAAATAAATAAATACTTAAAAAAAAAACCTACAAACAAGCACTTTCTGTGGGACTCACACCCAGCAGAAGAACACAGACGACACCATCACCACCGATGTGGGCCACACACACAGACAGGCCAAAGGCCAAGGAGATATATCAAAGAGATGTCCAGATTGATCTGTTGTTTCTTGTTTTGATTGTCATCATTTTTATTCTTCTGGGGCTGGGTTTTGAAGATTTCTATCTTCAAAATCTGCTACATTTCTATTTCTGTGTCTGTGTCTCTGTGTAAGAAGATATGCACATGAATGCAGTGCCCACAGAGACCAGAAGGGGGCATCAGATGCACTAACCCTGGAGTCCCATGGGGTAGTGAGTTATCTGTCCTGTTTGGGTACTGGAAACAGAACTGGGGTCCTCTGCAAGAACAGTGTACTCTTTTAACGCCTGAACTATTTCTCCAGCCTAAATTTTTCTAATTACATCTCATTATTTCTTTATTGTGTGGGGTGGGATTCAGTGCACACACACCACAGCATGCGTGCAGAAGTCAGAACCCTTGGCAACTGCTCATAGAAGCCCCTTTGCTTCTGGAGGCTGAAGAGAGGAGGCAGGCGTTTTCTGTGGATTCTAGAAGTGCCCTTCAATGGCTCCGTACCTGGGTAAGGGACATCCTGAAAGGGAGAGAGAATAGAAGGTCCAGTGGACAGAAGTAATTTCTCTCCTTGAGGAATAGAACGCTGATTTTTCTAGAAGGAGGTCGGGAGAAAGGGGGTTATAATTCTCTACCTGGGCAGAGGAGCAGAATGAGGGGGTCTCAGCTTCATCCTGAATACCAGCCCTGGGAACTGAACCAAGTGTAGCTAAGCCACCAGGCACTCCTACCGCCTTCTGTTCCTTCTTGGTCTGGTCTTTTTCTCAGCCCAACACTCGTGGAGGTCAGATCCTGAGAGGGCCACTCAGGAAGGAGGCTGGGGTAGGGGTCTGCCTAGCCCCTGTACCACCTGGTTAAACCTAGACATGCAGAGAGGCTTAGAGGTGCTGAGGTTGGCAGGGACCTATAGGGCACCTTGACTCTGTCCAGGGCTGACCATGTCAAGCCACTCAGTCAGACTGACCTCTGTCTTCCACAGTTGCCCCTCAGAGCCCGAGGAGCATCCCAACGGAGATGCAGCCTGTGTGGCCCCTAACCCTGGAGCAAGATGGCATGTGGAAAGGATGCCCGGGACAGATCGGGCGGGAAGGGTAGGAAGCTGGCGGAGGGGTGAGGAACTGAAGAGACCAGGAAAGGATGGAAGGCCTGACCGAGACAGTGGGGGCTTCTGGGAAGGCCACTCTGCTGAGGGCCTGAGGACTGGGTTCAGTTCTCAGCTTTCACTTGGTTCGCAACCCTTTGTAACTCCAGTCCCAGGGAATCCCATGCCCTTGTCTGACCTCTGCAGACAGCAGGTAGCTCAGGAGCTGAGTGGAACACACACATAGTGCACAGACACACACGACGGAAAAACACCCATACACATAAATAAATCTAAAATTTTAGAAAAGAAAAAAGACAAAGAAAAGCTAATGAGAAGAAAGGGAAGGAGGGACAGAGGCCAAACACTGGTGCCATCTTTGTTCCAAAATTAGACGTGCCAACGGGGGGAAAATGTCTGTGTACTGTGTCTGTGCCTTGTTGCTGGACTTGGGCGGCGTTTTTTCTGGGTCTCAGCTATGGCTGAGGTCGTAGAAATGGCCCTATGGTGCTGGGGACCAAATCCAGGCTAGGGAAGCATTCCTGAGCCACAGCCACCTCCCTCCCCGCCTGAGAGTGGTGTTCGGATGTGTGCCTGTGGGAGACTTGCAAGCCGGGCTCTGGGGGGGGGGGTCTGCTTCTCAGCGGGTGGGCCCTGATGGTAGAGCATCTGGAGAGGTAACAGGTAGCAGTGTCTCCTTTAGGTCTGGGGTAAGTGTCTGCACCTTCTCCCACAGCACAGTCTTGGGCAAGTGTACACTGCACTGGAAACAAGGGTAAGTCCCTCAGGCTGTGTCTTGTCTGGGATGAAATCGGGGCTGAGATGGTCACCCCTAGCTTGTCCTCTTATTCTCTGCCACTCTCGCTAATTCTGTCCCTCATCATACCTTGCATTCTTGTCCACTAATGTCCCACCTCTTGATTCTATTTCGGTCTCAGCCAGGGAATCGCTAAAGCACCCTCTTCAGGCCTCCCTGGGCCTCAGGCCTTTCCCTTCTTCCGAGCTTGGGGTTGCCTTTGTCCTGAGTATTATGTGGGTATCCGGGAGCTCCAGAAGGTTTCCCTTATAAGTCTTATGAGAGCGTGGACTGCCCACGACTTTGGGTGCTGGGATTAGCCAATGTTAGAAAGTTCGCGCTCCAAGCTTTCCCCTCCCTTTTCCAGAGATAGAGACAGACACCAAGATGCATTTTTGAAAGTTTATTTTTCATGCAACAGGGGCGAGGCGTGGTGGCGACGTTTCAGTAGACCCGGGGCTTGGCAGAATCCACGGACTCCCGCGTCCCGGCCATCTGCAGCAGGCGGAGCAGCAGCGCCCGGGCGGGCCCGTCCAGCTGCGTGCCGTTGTTCGGTTCGCGAGCGCGGGTGAGGCGGAGAAAATCCTCGCGGCACTCGGGCTCGGTCACGCAGCTCTCTGAAGGAAAGGCTCTGTGAGCGCAGGCGCCCTGGAGTGGGCGCTGCTCCCAAGTCCCGGTTCCAACGCTGCCCTCCCACCGCGACCCCCCCACCCCCACCCCCGCCACGTTCCAGCGTTCCAGTTCTAGCCCCTCTTCGTTTTCACCCTCCAACTCTGTGTCCATATGCTCCCCCCATTCACCCTCCCAAACCACCCCTACCTCGCGCCCCATGCCCAGCTCCCCACTAACGCCACCTCCACCCTCACACACACCCTGTGTCCGTCCCCCCCCCCCCCCCCCCCCCATTCACCCTCCCAAACCACCCCTACCTCGCGCCCCATGCCCAGCTCCCCACTAACGCCACCTCCACCCTCACACACACCCTGTGTCCGTCCCCCCCACCCCCCAGCTTGGCCTCGTGCGCACCATCGCTGCAGCAGACGCCCGCGGCGGCGCAGCGGCCCCCGCTCCCGCACGGCTTCTGGCCCGACTGGCAGGGCGAGGGCAGGTAGTTCTCCTCCTGGCAGCGCAGCGCCTCGGCGGTGCCCACGAAGCAGCCCAGGTCGTCGGCGCAGCAGATGTTGGGTCCGAAGCAGCGGCCTTGGTCGCCAGGGCCACAGGGGAGGCACTGCGGGGAAGGACGTTAGTGGGCAGCGGTGGGGACCCAGGGCCACCCTGCTGCTGTCCCGGTCTCGCGCCGTAGGGGCACTGGCGCTCTCCAGGCCGAAGCAACAGCCAAGGGCAGGAGTGGAAATCTAAAGTGCTAGGTTATCAGGGGGATCAGTTCTCACTAGGAGTTCAAACCCTCACCTGGGTTGGCTGAGTGTGCCCTGGGACCTTGCTCAGCTCTGAGATGTCACTGGTGTGCAGCAATGGCTCAGAGGCTTCCTTCTCTGACATTCAGCGGTCCTCTGGTCCCCTCCCTTACCCCCCACGGAGCAGTCCTGCTTCTTAGGAGCACAACATTCACACCCTTTCTCTCATTTTCTGGCCTTGCTCTTACTCCGGCCTGAAGCTGATGGGCCTCACCTGAGCCTGAACCTCCTGCCAACCTATTATGCCCTATTGCGTGGGTGGCAGGGACCAAATTAGAGCGATGTGTGCATGGGAACCTGGTGCCTCAAGCTTCCCGAGGAACTCTGCAAACGGCAGGTGGACTGGGGGGAGCTGCCTATCTGCCTACTCCTGCTTGTTCAACAACTCAAAATCGAGCCACCCGTGGCCTGGACAAAACCGAGCCTGGCGGCTAGATTCCCTTGACATGGGATTCCCTGGACACGCAGACAAGAGATTTGGGCAAGAGGTTGGGGTTAGTTATGGGACACACGCCACTCAGGCGTGCACAGAGCCAGGGCCGTCTTCTTACGGACAGGAAGAAATTGGCACTGGTGGCTAGAAAGGGAGCTATGAGGGGCTGAGCTGGGTGGGAAAGACTTTAACTAGGCTAAAACAGAGCTTTGTGTAAGCTAGCCAGTCCTGATGAGCTGACACCCGCCCCCTGCCCCAGATGTGCAGAGGCCTGAGCACCCAGTTCCACCTGCTCCCATCCCAAGCCCAGTTGTTAGGAGGCATCTCTCATTTTCTGGCATACCCCCCAGATGGGGACAGTGTCCGTCACGCGGCTTCCCCGGCACCTGGTCCGCTTTCGCCCATCTGAGTAGTCCATCCCCTGTGCTCTCTCGCCTCCTTCCAGGAACCTCCCCTGATGTCCGACTTCTCTGACCATCTGCTTCCCTCTCCTAGCCCCGACCCATTCCGAGGGCACTGCTGGCCGCTGTGAAATGGACCACAGTGGTACCTGTCTCAGCTCCATGTCAGGCATGGCCCTCTTGCCGCCCCTCGGGCAGTTCTGGAAGTAGCAGGCAGAGGTGAAGGCCAGCAGGCTCAGGAAACACGCCGACAGCGTAGAGTTGAGCATCCTGGCGAGCATAGGTGGGCAGTGTGCGGCGCTGCTCTCCTGGCTCTGCTCTGCTGCCTTGACGGGCTGTCTATTTATGTCTGCAGGTGTTCCCTAGGAGGCGACAACGTGGCTGCTAACCCCCTCCCCGGTGGCTCCCCAGGAGCCCACAGCCGACAGGTCCCAAGCTGTCAGCAGTGATTCAGGCATCTGGGGACACACGTGGGCCTGTCTGTGCGGAGCATGTTGGAGGAGGGGGCAGGTCAGCAGGCTGTCATTGGCCACAGTGTGACAGGAGAAACAGTTACAGAGACTGCTGCTGTACTGTCTGGGAGGTGAGCTGACTCGAGGGTCACCTGGAAATCATCTGAGCATCCTAGCTGCTCTCAACAAGCTGGAGGGGTCAACAGGCCCCATCCAGAAAGGGCCATCATGTTTGGAGCAGGGTCAGGACCAGGAGGGGTGGGGCAGTCTTGCTAGTTGTGGATGGGATGAGCAAGAGGAACCACACATACCAGGTGAGCTTTCTGAAGGACATTCCCAATTGCAGCCTCTCTGGCCAACAGCCACAGTCGTGACGTCAAGGGCAGTGCACAGATTCAAAGGTCAGCTGGGTGTGGCTGCCTTCAGGATGCCCAGGATGTGTTTCTACCCCATGCATGCCCCTGTAGAGCCAGGTGTGGGGACTCAGGCTCTGAGAATGGGAGTCTTGGGGATAGCGCCTCTCTGGTCCCCACTAAGGACATGAATTGGGATGCTATTATGGGAAGGAGAACTCCAGGCTCAGTCATGTGCAAAGATCTAGCTTCTCAGACCTGTGGTCTGAGCTACTTTGTGAAACTAAAGTAGGAAGGTCAAAAGTTCCAGGCCAGACTGGGTAACTTAGTGAGACCCTTTCTCAATGAATAAAAAGAAGACTGGGCGGTGGTGGCGCACACCTTTAATCCCAGTTCTCAGGAGACAGAGGCAGATGGAGCTCTGTAAGTTCTAGGCCAGCCTGGTCTACAGAGTGAATTCCAGGACAGCCAAGGCTACACGGAGAAACCCTGTCTCAAAAAAACAAAAAATAAACAAATACATAGAAGGAAGCTGGACGGTGGTGGCTCACGCCTTTGATCCCAGCATTCTGGGAGGCAGAGGCAGGTAGATCTCTGTGAGTTCCAGGCCTCCCAGGGCTTCATAGTGAGATCCTGTTTCAAAGAAAGAAAGGATGGGCTGGAGAGAAGGCTCAGTGGTTAAGAGCATTGCCTGCTCTTCCAAAGGTCCTGAGTTCAATTCCCAGCAACCACATGGTGGCTCACAACCATCTGTAATGAGGTCTGGTGCCCTCTTCTGGCCTGCAGACATACACACAGACAGAATATTGTATACATAATAAATTAAAAAAAAAAAGAAAGAAAGGATGGAGGGAGGGAGAGAGACAGAGACAGAGAGAGCACAGAAGGCTGAGGCTATAGCTCAGAAATAGTCCTGGGTGAAATCCCCAGAACTAACAAGAGAAAACAGCTGTGGAGAGAGACCCATGCCCCTAGACTGGTACCATCTCAGGCCTAAGGCAGAAGTGAAAATGGGCGGTTGTTCTGTAGGAGGAAATGGGAGGAGCCACAGTCAGACAGATCCAGTCTGGAGGAAGCAGGGTTAGCTCCTGACTTCAGGTTGTAAATCATTTGTTTCTTTGGCTGTCTAATGCGGTCCAGACTGACCTTGAAGCTAACTTTGAACTCTTAGTCTCTCTGGCTCCAGCTCTCGAGTGCTAGGACTAAAGGCACGTACCACCACACTCTCCTTTAGCCTTCACAGCCTCCTTTCCTAGGCCACCAGAAAACCCCTCTGGATTTGGACACAGACCAGCCAGCCCATTCCCTCTGGACTGTGCACAGGCCTGGACCTTCCCAGCTCCCATAGACTCCAGCTACCTCTCCTGGGTATACCAGTGTGCTCCAGAGGAGCTCCAGAGGACTGTTTGGCCTCTGCCTCACCAAGTACAGTGGGGCCCGGGAGCCAAGGCGGCCTCCCACACTCAGTCTTTTCAGGAATGACTGTTGGCACCCGAGGCCTCTGTAAGAGGCAGCTGATAGGAAGTCAAGTACGTTGGCTTCTGTGTCTCGAAGCTTCCTGATTGGGCAGGTCACCGGGTGTCTAAGTGGTGAAGTAGAGTAACAACGGCATAGGCACAGGTTCTGAGCACTGAGTCACTGACCGTGAAACTCAAGGCAAGTGCTTGTGTCGTGTTGCGGTCATGTTACGCGACAACGGCGCTGTATCACCAACGTCCTCACTAAGAGAGAAGAGGCTGTTTTCCAGAGAGAAAACTTCCTTGGCCAGAAGAAAGCCTCTTCCGCTTACGGATGAGAATGAGCCTTAGGATAGACTGTTGTCCTGCTCAGTAGTGAGGTGGACGCTGCTGGGGTCAGGGAGGGGCAGGTGCCTGCTCTGTGGCCTCCCTAATATACTGTCTCTGTGCTTCATTTCCAAATTATCATCTGAAAGCTGATGGGGCCTGATTGAAAGACACAGTCCTGGGACCAGTCTGGGAGGGTCCAGAGCCCTTGACCAGCATGTGCACCAGGGATGTCATTCTAAGGCCCCTTGGAGAATGCTCTGTCCCTGGGCATGGATGCCAAAGGTTCACTAGACCTAATCTCCACCGTCTCAATATCTCTGCTGGCTAGAAAAGGTCCCATGAGCATGCTGGCTCTTCATCTCAGATACCCCACCCCACGTGCGGCATGGACTCCCAAGACACCTCGAACCTTCTATATTTCCCTCATAGCCTGTTTTCCCCAATAGCTTTTTTTGGAGATAGGGTCTCATTCTATATCTCTAGCTTTACTGGAAATCTCTAAGTGGACCAGGCTAGCCTCAAACTCACAGCCTACTCTGCCTTGGGAGTGTTGCCATTAAAGATATGAGTCATTATGTCTGTCCCACTATCTGTCATTCCTGTTCAAGTCAACATTTACTCTGTAACTCCCTCCACTCAGATTCCTGCCCAGACCAGTCTACCGAAACTCCTTTATTATGACCATAAAGTGTGCTGCCATTTTGGCGGGCCCAATCGTGTCTTTATTTTACACGGCCTCTCCCAGCAGAATTTCACACGATGAAGCCATTGTCCCTTTTTACAGCACACTTCATCTGGCTCCTCCGGCATGCTTTCCTGGATCTTCCAGAAAAATTCTTTCTGCTTCCCTTTCTGGCTTCACGTTGGCCTCTACACGCTGGAACAGCCCAAGACCTGGCACTGTGTCCCTTCTCTTCTTCCTAGGGTATTTTTATACTTTCTACAAATGAATGATGTACCAGTTCATGTCTTCATTCTGAGCATCTTTGAACCGCCCAGTGACAGCTTCCACTAGCCTGGAATGTGCCCTTATGACTTTAACACAGTTCGATTTAGCACCTGGTTTGCTTCCAGGGTTCCAATCTGCAGTGGTGTCATGGTTCAAGTAGCCACACCTCCCAAAGCTTAACACTCACTGTCCTGTCTAGAGGATCTCTACTGTAAATCATGCATGCATCTGTATGTCCATGTGGGTACAGGAGTTCCTAGAATACAGGAGAGGGCATCAGAGTCCTGGGGCTGGAGTTCCAGGCAGTTGTGAGCCATTGAAATGGGTGCTGGGGACCAAACGCAGTCTTAACCTCTCCAGCCCCTCGGTCCTTTTACTCTTTCCTACCTTGGGTCTGTGTTGATGGGGTCCCAGCTGGTTGATACCTCCTCTACCCTGAAGTCCCTCCCTCTCTCTCTCCCTCTCCACCTGCACCTCTCTCCTTTCTGCGGGGTGGGCATGTGTGTTTGCATTCCTCCTCCAATGAAAACCCTCAGACATGAAGGACACCATCATCTGTTTTTATTACTATACTGGGAGCTTTTGCCAAACGGTGGGTTTTTCAGTTCTAGAAAGAATGAAGGGAGGTGGAAGCCCTGGGGACCAGCCTTAGCTCTCCAGGGCATTGCTGTGTGACCTGGGGCAAGTCAAATTTGTTTTCGAGGTTACTTATTTGATGTACCAACCCCACTTCCTCCCCCACTGTAGACTTGAGACACTGTCCATGTATCCTGGTCACTGAATTTGGTCTCGATTCTTTTGTCTTCACCTCCCCTGGCGCTGGGATTTCAGGCGGGTGCCACTGTGCCCAATTTCACTGAGATCTAAGAAACCTCAGTGTTCTAGGTTAGGGCATTCAGTTTTTCTGTCTTGTCTTATTTGTTTGTTTTTCAAGATGGGTTTTTTTTTCTATGTAGCCTTGGCTGACCTGGAACTCACTCTGTAGACCAGATCTGCCTGCTTCTGCCTACTGAGTAGAGTGCTGGGATTAAAGGTGCGCCACCACGCTACCACCGCTCTGTCAGTTCAAGGTCAGCCTGCTCAGCTGCGAGAGTTCCCAAACAGCCAAGGAGCTGTTACACGTAGAGAAACCCTGTCTCAAAAAAAAAAAAAAAAAAAAAAAAGCCGGGCGGTGGTGGCGCACGCCTTTAATCCCAGCACTTTGGAGGCAGAGGCAGGCGGATCTCTGTGAGTTCGAGACCAGCCTGGTCTACAAGAGCTAGTTCCAGGACAGGCTCCAAAACCACAGAGAAACCCTGTCTCGAAAAACAAACAAATAAATAAATAAACAAATAAACCAACCCCACTTCAAAGCAAACAATCAAAACAAACAAGCACTTCACTGGTGGGGGCTGGAGAGATGACTCAGCAGTTTCGAGCTCTTCCAGAGGACCTGGCTTTGAGTCAATAGTCAGTAGTCACTGGACCGTCTCTCCAGTCAGGATGTACAGGGTTTTGGTTGGTTGTTTTTGTTTTTGGGACAGGGTTTCTGTAGCCCTGTCTTGAAACTCACTATGCAGACCAGAGCTGGCTTTGAATTTACAGAGACCCTACTGTTTCTGCCTTCCAAATGCTGGGATTAAAAACTGTGCCACCATGCCGTGTCCTTGTAAAACAGAGTGTATTTATTGTGTGTAGATGTCCCTCACGCCTTTAATCCCAGTACTGAGGAAGCAGAGGCAGGCGGACCTCTGAGTTTTA